GTACTTCACCCCCAAAATTTCCCCAGCTAGCCATGCCAGCTGGGGAATTCTGGGAGTTGAAGTCCACACTTCTTAAAGTTGCTGAGATTGAGGAACACTGCTCTAGTGGGAGGGAGTTGTGCAGCCTCTGTAGGGCTGCTGAAAAGATCCTGACCCTTGACCCCATCAGTCCGTGCATCTTTGCTTGTGGCAGGAAACGAAGCAAAGCTTTTGCTGTTAAGTGTAATGCAGCCTAGAAAGTAAGCGGTCAGAAGTTGCTCGCTGGCAGGAGAAATTATAACCCCGCTGCAGGATTGGCAGGTGAGGTCAATTTCTGCGCAGAGCTAGGAGAAGGGGATTTCTGTCTTATGGCAACCTGCTTCATCTATATGTAAAGCACAGGGAAGACATGGAGAGTGGGGTCCCCCTGCCTGGAGCCTGCTTGTTTTTTCTGCTTGCTGGTGGTTATTGGGCTAGCATTCAAGGCTCTTCTCAAAGCTGGAAGGCATATAATGATGGAGCTGACCCTTGAGATAGCCTTGGGAGAACTGGATGGGACTGGGGTTTCCCAACCTGGGTGTCCTCCAATGGGTAGACTTAGCTCTCCAAATTCCCCAGGCAGCGCAGCTATTCGCTGAGCCTTTTGTGAATGGAAGCCCATCTTTTGAGGTGTAGAGGAGTATGGAGATGGCCTTGCAGAAGGAATTCAACAGCCATTAGTTAAACCCCAGCTTAGTCCAGGAAGGAGGAGAGAGTGAGAAAGAAAGTCAAGACTGCCCTGCCTTGATTTTCTTTAGCATAAGAGGGAGGGAAGGGAAAACACGGGCTTTCAAGATTCTGTTATTATACCCTACAACAATAAAGTAGAGTTCCAGTAGATTTGGTGGAGTTTGTTTCCTGACCTGGCCTACCTGCTGTATGTCTGAAGAGGTCAGGTTTGGGAGCAGAGTACTAAAAGAGTTGTTTTCTCTCAGGTGAATGTGCGGCTTGACTTGATGTCACTTGAATTGAGTGAGATTGGCAGGAATTAGAGAGCGAATCCTCTTAGTGTTTTCCCTCTATTCCTTGGACACCCTGCCAAGAGCTCTTTTTGTTGCATGGCTATTTTTTTTTTCTTCATTTAAGAAGGTAGGCTGATTTTAGATTGTTGGTGACTGTTGCTGCGTTTACATCATGTATAAAGCAGCTTAATGTTAATGTTTGGTTGGGTTTTTAAATGATGATGTTTTATTAATGTTTTGTTTTTACAGGATTAATAGGTGGGAAATAGTTGAGTGCGGATGGATGGATGGATGGATGGATGGATGGATGGATGGATGGATACACACATACATACATACATCAAGGAAGTGCTGTGGCCCAGGTTTGAAGGGCAAAATAGGATTTGGTGTATGCATGAAACACCTGTCAGGAACACTTTAAAGCAGTGTTTCTCAACCTCAGCAACTCCCAGAATTCCCCAGCCAGTGCGGATTTGTAACTCTCAGAATTCCCCAGCCAGCATGAGGTTGAAAAATACTGCTTTAAACCAAACATGTCTTTCGCAAGATCAGGGAACAGTTGCATTGGGCAGTCACAGAAATGCAGGAAAAAATGCCTCTGCTCTAACTGTTAAACATTTCACCCTTTGAGTCCAGATGGCTAGGCCACCCTCGTGTGTGTGTGTGTGTGTGTATGTATATCTTTGCCCAGAATAGTGGGATGGAAGCAACTGAAATAAATACTGATGAAATAAAAGTCTTTCCTCCAACATTTTATGCCCCTTAGGTTTTTAGGGGATCCAAAATCTCAAGGGGCCGCCGCTGCTTCTCCTGAAGATCATGAGATTCTGCCTGGGAAGGACGCCGCCTGTTCTGACCCGGCCGTTGATGCCCCACCTGCTTCTGTTGTAAGGCAGGGGCGAGGCTGAAAGGGGGCCCCCGTGACTGGGGTCCAGCTGCTTTTCTGGCTTTGAGAAGGCGGAGGGGGTGGGTGAGCCTGGGCTGCTCTCCCTCCCCTCCCTTCCAGAAGGAACCCATAGGCCAAATCTTCTCCTTGCCCTGCAGTTCTCACTGCACTCCTCGCTGGCCGTTGGGCAGGGCCAGCCAGCCATCCGCCCAGGGCCCCAGGGCCTCACCTCGCTCATCTCGAGGTGAGACGCCGGCCTCCCTTGCGGAAAACAGCATGGCCTCGGGAAGAGGAGAAACAGCTGCCCTCCACCTCCAGTTACAGGGGGCTGCCGAGCCGAGCCCACGGCCGACCATGAAGATGGAGGTGCAGGAGACGGCCGCGCAAGAGCTGGGGCGGGGAGGGGTCTCGCGTTTCCTTCAAATCGGGTCCACGCGGGAGTTCTTGTCCGGAGAGGCTCCTCACCAGGTGAAACAGGAGCCGGATGAAGTTCTTCCGCCACACCACTGGGCGCCCCCCAGGCAGGAGTTTCCTAAGGGGGTGCAGTATCCTCCGTCGGGGTGGAGAAACCCAGCCCTGACCAAGCCCCTGCCGTGGGACAGTAGCTCTTTCCAGGCCCCGTACGAGGCTCCGGCCAACCCGAGCCCCTGGCCCTCGGGAGGATGGGTGGGCCAGCCTCTGCCCAGTCTCAGCAGAGAGACTCAGCCGGTCTACGGCGGCCAGGAGCACCGAGAGCGGAGGACCTACGGGGGTCTCAAGGAAGAGGCTCTGAACGAAGGGATGGCCAACGTGGAGATCCGTCGCCAGCGCTTCCGGCGGCATCGCTACCAGGAGGCCGAGGGCCCCCGGGAAGTCTGCCGGCAGCTGCAGGAACTCTGCCAGCAGTGGCTGAGGCCCGAGAGACGCACCAAGGAGCAGATCCTGGAGCTGGTGATCCTGGAGCAGTTCTTGACCATCCTCCCCCAGGAGATGCAGAGCTGGGTCCGGGAACGCGGGCCGGAGACCTGCACCCAAGCGGTGACCTTTTCAGAAGATTTCCTGATGCGACAGAGAGAGACCCAAAGGAAAGAGCAACAGGTAACAAGCGGTATTAATATCGTTCATCTGCTCAAAAAGCAGTCTACCACCCTGGGTAGATTACAGGGTGATGTAAAACATCAAAGCCACCCCAAGCAATGAAACAGTTAAGAAGGATGCCAGGAGTAAAACAGACGTAGTTGTTAACCCAATTTACATTGCTTTAAAGCAGGGTTAGACTAATTTGTGGAAGTGAAGGTGACTGAAGACTGTTGGGGTGTGTTTTATTTAGTTACACCAAGCATCTAGCAATCCAGCGCCCTCGGAGCAATTCCCCGCGACAGAAACAAAAATAATTGAGGTGGTAATAATAAAACCAATCTAAACATACTGTTTTAAAATGAATTGCGCTTAAATTGGCGTGGCTTTAGATTTTAGATGACCACCTTGCTGCTGCCTGGTTTATAGGGTGTTTTCATTTGGCTTTTCATTTGATTTTGTTACATATATTGTATCTTTAGGGTGCTTTATTGTAAATTGCCCAGAGAGCTTTGGCTGTCGGGTGGTTTCGAAATCTTAATAAATAAAATGACGGGAGATGTATCCCAAGACGACTGAAAGGCCCCGTGTTCCCTCCGGCTGGGGCAGATGATAGTTAAAAGGACTGATTTGGAGTACAGCAGCCTTCTGGGCGCTGCGATTTCCATTCTGAGCGAGGAATTCACCCTCTGCGAGTGGGAGGACACATTCATAGGAGGAGCTGTTCTTTCCATTGCTATTCGACGGGGAAAAGCAGTCTACAGAGCATGGGAAGATGGGTACCGCCTTGTTTTGCATAAGAGTTTCTTTGAAATGAAAAGCTGAGTTTCTCTGCTGCCTGACCCAGCCAGGGTCCATTTTCCTGAGGCTGAACCACAGGCCAGGAGGGGCAGAGTGGGTCCGCCATGTCCTGTTCCATCCCCTCCTGGAATTAACCTCCCCGCCGCCCTTTCCAGGTGATGTGGACCTTCGAGGAGGTGGTGGTGAATCCTCCCCTGCCGCCACCCGTCCAGTATCCCGCCGTGACGCAGCAAGTCCATTACCCCACGGTGGCACTGCCAGTGCAGTACCCACCCTTGGCACCACAGGCCCAATACCCTGCCATCGGACAACCAGCCCCCCATCCCATTGTGGCGGAGCGAGTGCCGGCAGATGCCGGGCAGAGGGTGATCTGCAGGAAGTCGGCAGCGGACGATGGTGCCACCCTCCGACCTTACGGTAAGGTGATCTTCCAGGGGAGCTACAGCCCCTGTACAGCTGGGACTCCACTTCCCATAACTTCCCACCAGCAGGGCTGTGCTGGTGGAGCATCATGGGGTTGGAGTTCCATCTGTCTCTTTTTGAGTCAAAAGCCATATTGGGAAGCTGGAGAGCATGTGAAGGACCCTCTCTCAAAATGGCGGGCATGGCAAGCCACATAACGCGTATACATCTCCCCCTCGTCTGAAGAGGAATAGGTATTGTTAGACTTCAAGATTATGCTTGAGGAAGGGACTTTGTGTGGCTAGCTTCTCATTATCGTTATTATTTAATTAAAAGAAGCTAACCAAATTAACTGTGAGGGGACAAGAAGCTTAGCAGCCCCAACAAGCATAGAGCTGGACCCAACGTCTCCTTTGAGGGATTTATTTATTTATTTACCTATTGACTCCATTTGCCCACCGCTGAATCCCAAAGGCTCTGGGTGGTCCACGGCCTCATCATAAAATAAAATAACATCCATGTAGAGGAGGGGAAAAAAATAACCCCAAGCATACGTTAAAAAGTATCTGCTTCAAAATGGAATACCAGAAAATGGAAAAGTCGTGCCCTTGTTGACCCGCATCACCAACCTTCTTCTGTGTTAGACAGAAGTGACACAACGTAGCAGCTTCCCTAAAGTCCAGGAAGGATGGAGCTGACCGAAGAGAGTTCCACAATGTGGGGACAGCTATCAAAAAAGCCCGTCTCTGAGACCCCGTCAGGCGGGGCCCGGAAGGAGCTGGCCTGATTTGATCTGGTTGGCCGGGCCAACGAATGCAGGTGGTTCCTTACAAAACCGAGTCTGGAGCCACGGAGGAGATCCAAGGCTGACACTAAGAACCTCGTGGTTCATATTCAAGGGCATAAGCCACTCCTCTCTTGTACAGCGGATCTCAGCGTATTTCCTCTGATTTTGCTATCCTGTCTCAGGCAGCAGGGGAACCCAGCCAAGGATGGCAGCAGAGGGGGAAGAATGCGCAGGAACCGTGCTCTTGTTGAGGCTCAGCGGGCGCCATTTTGTTCTATCTGAGCCCACAATTTGACACCGACCGAGGCCATGCTCTGCCCTGACTGTTCTGGGAGGTCTCGTGGGACACTTAAAAAGGGAAGGCCGTTAGCAAGAGGCCAGTTCCTGGCCTCCATTGCTTTCCAAACTGAAGCTGTCTCAGTTTTAATCTGTTGCTCTGCGCAACCACAGTTGCACGATGCAACATGTTTAATCTGCGGCCTGAGGAGCTTAACTTTCTTTCCTTTTTCTTTAAACAGTAAAGAGGAAGCGTTTGTGAAATCTTGGAAATTGATGTGCAGCTGTTCAGTTCTGAAATGGAAACTGACTATTTGTAAACCGCCAAAAGGGGATATGTTTTATTCTGTACTTTTAAGTCTCACTTCTTTTGACCACGTCAAAATAATCAGCAGTCGAGTGAGGGCAACATAATATTTTTAGCATGGCCCATGGATCGAGGGTCTGGTCCAAGATCTGTCTCCAATGTATAGTTCTTTTTCTACATTTCACGGAAGCTCTCCCTCCTTCCCTTACAATTTTTTGGTCCCTGCTGGCTACCTACATCATGCAAAATTCTCATAGTTGGAAAGGTTACTGGCCCTCTTTTATTTTACAGGTAGGCCTCAACTAGTGCAGTTAATGAATCCCACAAAATGGTTGCATTATTCAAATTCGCACTATGCAAAGTAATATTCCTATGGAAAATAGGGTAATTGGTTCCAGCTCAAAGGAAATAGGCAATTAACATTTTTAAATATAAATGTTTATACAGGTAGTCCTCACTTAACAACCCTAATTGGGATTGGAATTTCTGTTGCTAAGCGAAGTGGTCGTTAGGCAAAACATCACATGACCGCACCGCTTAGCGATGGCAGTTCCAATAGTCCCGGTTGTGGTCGTTAGGCCAGGACCTCATGCTTCTCCTGCCTTGCTGCACTCACCTCCATTGTGGTGTAGTGCGACAGCCAAAAGGCAAAGATAGGGAGAGGAGAGGCAGGTTGGGCGGAGTTGAAGCACACACTGCGGTTGTAAATGCGGGCAGTCTGCCAAGCACCTGAATTTTTTTGGGACTGCGGGGGTGCTGCAACGGTCATAACTTCAAGGGCTGGCCATAACTACCATTCATTCAGCGCTGTTGTAATTTCAAATGGTCGCTGAATGAATGGTCGTTAAGCGAGGACTACCTGAATGTTTATTAATAAAATGCTGTATAACAGCAAAAGAGGATAAACTCATATCCAAAGCGTACCTGCTCTCTCCTATATTCTGCTGTAGTTCTTTAAAATGGGACTCTTCTTTTTTGAGCTTTCCTTGAATGGAACCTGCCTTTTCTCCAGTTTGAACAAATGACGATTAGTGTCTAAAAGGCCAACAGCAACTGCACATGCGCTAACCTCGGGCTAACTGAACTTTGGCTCGCGTTAAACATGACCTGGTATCAATTTATAAGTCGCACTAAATCGAACTGCGCACTGTTCAAACTCACACTAATCGCAGCCCACCTGTATTTCATTTTATTACGGGTTAGACGCCTCTGCCCGATCCAAGATAAACATACGGTAAGTACAATAAACAACAGCGTAAAAGGGCAACTACAGCAGTGTTGTCCAAACTTGGCCACTTTAAGATGAGTGGACTTCAACTCCCAGAATTCCCCAGCCAGC